GGGAGCTCTTGGTGTAGCTCTTGCCGCAGCCCGGGTGCGCGCACGTGTGCGCCGCCTGCCTCTTGCGCGCCCACGAGCGCCGGCTGCGCTTGGCTGGTGCGGCGTCGGCGACCACGCCTGGGTCCCCTGCAGTCCCTCCGAGTCCGGCGCCCACCGGCCCGGGTCCCAGACAACTCAGAAAGGAGGGGGGCGCGGCGGGGCCGGGAGCGGGCGCCTGGAGCCCACGGAAGAGCTGGAAGTGCCCTTGGTATTGCGGCGCCGGGTACAGCGCGGGGTACCCGGACAGCAGCCCGTAGGGGGCGCCCGGCGCCGCGGGCACTGACAGCCCGGTCCGCGGGAAGTAGCTGCCCGACGATCCGGCGCCCGGCCCCGGGTACACCGGCTGTAGCGGCAGCGCCTTGGGCTCGGGGGCCGGGGCCAGGGCTGGGCCCACGAAGGCGTCGGGGGCCGGGGCTCGCGGGGTAGGGCGCGCCCAGCCTGAGTGCTCCTCGGGACCCAAGAGCCCGGCTGCTAGCCCCGGGCCGCCCGCATATGCGCTCAGAGTCTCCGGCGGCGACAGGTATTGCGCCCCGGGGCCCTCGCTGGGCGCCAGAGCGCAGGTCCGGGGCGCCCCGCCCGGTTCCGGGCCCGGGAAGTTGGTGAGGAGAAGGTCCAGGTCCCAGGCGGCGTCCGCGTCCCTCTCATCGTCCTCGTCCTCCCCGGGCGGGTCCTCCGACTTCGCGTGGAGGGGCAGCCCGGCGGGGTCGGGGGGACCCGGGCCCATGTCCTGCGCCTCTTCGGAGCGCCACCACTGTGGGAGGGAGCAGGCCGCTTGAGGCTGCGGTGGACGCTGCGGTACCCTGCCCAGGGACAGCGCGGGCTGGACACTCTGCTGGGGACAGGCTGGGCAGGGGCTAGGAAAGGGGTCTTTTTTGCCTGTCTGTCCCACTCTCCCACACTACCTCCCCCCGCCCGCCAAACCCTCCAGCTCCAGGGACAGAGGTCGATCTGGTCTGGCTGGAGACAGGAGATAAGACTTCCATTATCTGGAACCACACTCGGGGATGGGGGAAGGGGTAGCAGAGCAGAGAATGGGAGGCTGGGGGAGCAGCTTTGACTCAGTTTCTCCCCAGAGCCCCTCTCTCCTTCCCCAGCTCCCAACAAGATTAATTCCCGAATCTTGGGTGGCTCCCAGACATATTCACCGTTTCCCACTGATGTCGGGGAGAGATTCTCTCTGAGGCTCAGTTTTCTACTACAGAAATAAGCTCCTTCTAGAACCTCAAACCCCTAGGCCATCTCCCCCTGACCCCCCGACCAACCTCAGACCCCTGACCTAGACTGAATGCACCCCAGTCTTGTCAGGTTTCAACTCCAGGTCAAGATGCAGGCCTGGCACCCAAGCTCTGTGCCCGCAGCTCTGGATCCCAGCCAGCCCACCTAGGCCCCATCTGGCCCCACCTTGAGGAAGTCCTCCTGTGTGTCCGGGAAGGGGCCCAGGGCGGTCAGTGTGCTGATAGAGGGTAACGCAGTCTCTGCTGCAGCCATGGCTGGCTGGTGCCCACCCTGGGCCTCAGGCCTCCTCTCCCTCGGCTGCCTCGTGGGCTCTGAGGCTCTGATGGTCCCTTGGAAGGCTCCTCTCTGCCTTCAGCTGATTGGCTGCAGCCTCTGATAAGGGGCAGGCAAGGCGGGGGGTCACTGTTTCTGGGGGAACAGACCTCACCTCAGCCTGTTTGGGGCTGGGCCCTAAAGACTGACCCTGTAACCAAAACCAAGTCAGACGTCAGGGGCTGGGGTTCGGAGTCTGGGGATTCAGGTGCTGGGTAAAAAGAGGCACTGGGTCCCCAAAGAAGGAGAGGCTTGGGGGTCTGCTCTCAGTCTACCTTCCTGGAGAAGGGGTGTCAGGCAGAACAAGTATTCTGAAAAGGGGCTGTGGGACCCTTTCTGCTCCCAATTGCGGCTCTGCAGCCCCCCCACCCATAAACAGCAACAACCATGCTGATGGCGGGACTTGGCACGAACTCCCTGCCAAGTATTATCAGACACCCCAGACGCTGGAAGCTGCTATCAGGTGGGGGCCCAGGCAGGCCAGAGCTCTGGCCCTGGTGAGTGGGAGGACTGAGAACTGGGTCTTCAAATTAACTTGACTTTAAACTGCCTGTGTTGGGAGTTCCCAGGGTCTGAACCAGCAGCAGGAAGGAGCCCTAGTCAAGCAGCCCACTATTGTCTACCATGGACCCTCGGTCGGCACCACGTGGGACTATATGGAGGCTGGTGTGATTACAGCTGCTTCAGTGGAATGGGGCAAGAGAGGGAGAGATGACCCCCTCTCCTCCTGGGTGAGATAGGTTCAAGCCACACAGGCAGTACCTGACTAGCAGGAGAACCATAGCCTGACTCTGGGCCTGGTTGCTGCTTGATTTCTGTCCAGCATGGCACGGGGCTCTGAGGTTCTACACCAAGGATCTCCACTCTGGTGCCCTGGGAGCCTGGGTAGGAGACATGGAAACACCTTACAGATACACAATTTATAGTTGTGCGCAGGAAGGTCTAGGCGAGAGGATTGCTTGAGGCCAGGATTTGAAAACAGGCTGGGCAATGTTGCAAGACTCCATCTCCACAAAAAAATCAAAAATTAGCCAGGCGTGGTGGCACATGCCTGTAGTCCCAGCTACTCAGGATGCTGACTTAGGAAGATTGCTTGTGGCCAGGAGTCAAAGATTACAGTGAGGCTATGAATGCACCATGGCACTCCAGCCTGGGTGGCAGAGCGACACCCTGTCACTTAAAAAAAAAAATGAAGCTGACCTTCTGATGCATGCTACAATGTGATTGAACCCCGAAAACATGCTGAATGAAAGAAGTCTGACAGCCAGGCCCAGTGGCTCAGGCCTGTAATCCCAACACTTTGGGATGCCAAGAAAAGAGAATTGCCTCAGCCCAGGCAACTTGGCAACACTTCATCTCTACAATAAATCAAAAAAATTAGCCAGTTGTGGTGGTGCACACCTGTGGTTCCAGCTACTTGGAAGGCTGAGGCAGAAGGATCACCTGAGCCCAGCAGGTTGCGGCTATGCTGTTCGTGAATGTGCCACTGCACTCCAGCCTGGGCAACAGAGTGAGACTCCAACTCAAAAAAAAAAGTCTATCACAAAGGACCACATAGCATATATATGAAATATCCAGTACAGGCAAATCCACAGAGGCAAAAAGTAGATTTGCTTCTTAGCTAGGTGTGGTGGCTCAGGTCTGTAATCCTTGTGCTATGGGAGGCTGAGGCCAGAGGATTGCTTGAGCTGGGAGTTCGAGGCTACAGTGAGTGAGCTACGATCGTGCCACTGCACTCCAGCCTGGGCGACAAAACCAGACCCTGTATCTCTTACACACACACACACACACACACAGCATAGTCACACACTTACATAGTCATGCAATTCCATAGTGACACAAGTACACAATTTCCTGGTTCCTCTGTCACAGTGACAGAGTCCCTGCACATATATAATTGCACATATGGACCATCCACAGACACACAATTCCCAGGCACCAAAACACACCCCTATGCTATCCTGGCACATGGAGATTCCTGGATGTATTAGAGATGCAAACACAGATACAGCCTCAGATAGAAACATAAAGCATGTCTGCACACAACCATTCACAAATATACAATGGTGGAGATGTGCACACTGCTATGCATCATAAAGTCAGACACAGATACAATCACATATTAAACCTCCTCTTTTTTTTTGTTTGAGTAGGAGTCTCACTCCTGTCGCCATGGCCACTGCAGCCTCAACCTACTGGACTCAGCCGATCCTTCTCCCTCAGTCTTCCAAGTAGCTGGAACTACAGGCATGCACCACCACACCTGTCTAATTTTTTGATTTACTGTAGAGATAAGATCTCGCCAAGTCACCCAGTCTGGTCTCGAACACCTGGACTCAGGCAGTACTCTCTCCTCAGCTTCTCAAAGTGCTGGGATTACAGTTAAACCTGCTCTTTATGTGATCACACCCCCTGTCACTTTCACAACATATACAGTAATTATTTCGTGACATATTTGCACAGCTACTGATGCCCAAACATGGGGGACACACACAGGCAAACACAGACAACCACAGGTGCATGGAATCAAGCACCCTGATAGTCAACAGAATACAACCGCCGAGGCAAGAGGATCACTTAAGCCCAGGTGTTCGAGACCCGCTTGGACAACAAAGGGAGATGACATTTCTAAAATAACAAAACAACACAAAAATTAGCCAGGCCTTGTAGGCTGCACCTGTAGTCCCAGCTACTCAGGAGGCTGAGGCCGGAGGATCATTTGAGTCCAGAAAGCCGAGGCTGCGGTGAGCTGTGATCCTGCCACTGCTCTCCAGCCTGGATAACAGAGTGAGACCTTGGCCCAAAAAGACAAAAACAAAAACAAAGGCACACAACCTCGTCAAGACATAGACTTATCTCCAGAAATATACAATCAGAGTCTGTGCACCACAAACACATCACACAAAAAGACAAAAAATTGCTGGACACGGTGGCTTACACCTCTAATCCCAGCACTTTGGGAGGAGAAGGTGAGAGTATTGCCTTAGCCCAGGAGTCTGAGACCAGCCTGGAAAACTTAGCAGACCTTGTCTGTACAATAAATCAAAAGATTAGCTGGGCGTGGTGGCATGCACCTGTAGTTCCAGCTATTTGGAAGGCTGAGGTGGAAGGATCACCTGAACTCAGCAGGTGGAGGCTGTGCTGGCCATAGCAACAGAGTGAGACTCCTACTCAAAAAAATTGAATTGTTGGCTGGGCTTGGTGGCTCAGCCTGTAATCCCAGCACTTTGGGAGGCCGAGGTGAGTGGATTACCTGAGCCCACGGGTTCGAGACCC